ATTTCCATCCTTGCTGCCACCTGTTGGCTCCCATAAGGTTCAGCTGCTGCTAAAGCCTCCTGTGGTATGGAGATGGGTATGGTGGAATCTCAGTGAGTCACCTGGGTGGAGTGAGTGGAGTGAATTGGAACCACACCAACTGAGATTCAGATTTGGCCATAGGCATGGGAGAAAACTTACAACAGGATAATTGGCACCCGCATGCTGGTCCTCTTGCAGAAGACCTCACATAGGGAATATGGCAGCTATCTTCTAGCCCTCACCTGAAGCCATACACCTCAGTTTTGCCCCCGTATGTCTCAATGCCCACCGCTCCGGTCACTGTCCCTCCACAGGAGCCCAGGGTGAGTGCCTGCAGGTGAGTCTGTGCAGGCCCTCTAAGAGGATGTCTTGGTATACTGCTGCCTTCTGTATCACCAGGGATAGTCAGAATCCCCACTGTTTTTCACAACCAGATGTTGTGGGGGCTCCTCTTCATGGCATCAGTACTCCAGGCTGGGAAGGCTAGTGTAGAGCTGGGGTCCCTTACTTCTCTGTGGGGAACCTCTGTGGCTGGGATATCCCTCCCAATTTTCACCCACCACACAGAGGTTTGGGGCTGGCCCATTTCGTGTCTCTGCCCCTTTCACCAGTCTCGATATGGCTTCTTCTTTACATTATTAGTTATTAAACTTCTCTTTAGCTAGACTTCAGATGGCTCTCCAGGTTGATTGTTCTATAATTTAGTTGTAATTTCTATGTGTTCACAGGATGAGGTATGCACAGCATTTATCTACTCTGCCATCTTGGATCCTTATGTGACATTTATTTTTATTTTATTGAGGGAGGTGTATTTGTGAATGTGGCATCTTTGAAATCTGGCACTGAAGAGGATAGGCCTGCAGAGGCCCACAGATTGCTGCCTGGCTTCCTGGGAGGTGTAGCCTGTAGCTCTTTGTGAATGTGGTCATATTCTGTTACAGTGGAGTATAACTTCCAGAAGGAAGGGCTCCTAGGTGATGCCAACTCTCTGGTACGGCCCAGTGTTCCATGTATGAAGAAGCAGATCCTTAAGGAAGTGGTAGGAACCTCTAGGTGTCCGACATCGCCACCTGGTGGAAGAGGTTCGTGTAAGCATGATTCCCCTATACTCCCAGAATTCTCAAACACACGCTTCCTAGATTCTGCGCAGCTGTTGCCCACGCCCTTCCAGAGGTTAGTATGCCCCCCAATGAGAGTCTCTGGGAATTATAGTGAGAAAAAGCTGTCTCAGTGTAATCTAGGGGAGCCTGAACTACCCCTGGAACTCTTTACTCCCAGGTGTTGCCCAAAGTGTCCCTCCCTCCCACTGTAGGGAGGGGTACCCCTACTGCGGAGCTTTCTGGAAGTAGCATGAGGTTACAGGTATCTGAGTCCACCACCTGGTAGCGATTAGGTAACCATGATTCTAATACCCATAATTCTGAAATCCAGGGAACCTGCGGAACTGCCAACATAGCCATTCTGGAGGTGGGGACACTCACTCAATGGTAGTGTCTGGGAAATACAGTGAATTAAAGCTGGCTGAGTGTGACCTAGGCTAGGCAACGGAGCCTGGACACCCACTCCCAGAGTCCTTGCTCTCAGGTGACTCCAAATTTCTGGAGCCAATAACTGTGTCTCTCCATAAAATGGGGCACCCATACCAGTGGAACCTTGTGGGAGAAGGAGTACAAGGTTCTAGGTGTCCAAGTGACCTACCTTATAGACAAGATTAATGTAATGATGATTCCTTGTAAATCCCAGAATTCTTATCCTCAAGTTTCCTGGACTTTGTCGAGCTGTCGACCACACTCTTTTAAGGGCAAGACACCTGAACTGTCTCTGGGAATTACAATGAGAAAAACTGTCTCAGTGCCGCCTAGCCTGGCTGGAGAGCCTGGACAGGTCCAGAAAACCCATCCACAGCACAGGACCCATCATGCTCACCCACACAGATCATGCCTACTCTGCCATGCCTTCTAGGAAATGTAGTCTGGTTAAATAGTGAAAACCCTTGCACCTCCAAAATCAACATATTAATTTGGTGAACCCTAAAATACGTGGGAAATAGTTTAAGAATTGCTTTCCTCAAACTACTACAAAAAAGAAACCAACTGAAAAGATTTCAGGATTTCTTGGCTGTTCCCTAACCACTGCCACCCTGCCCAAGGCATGGTAAGTTACAAGTGGTTTGTTGAACAGACTAAAATATAGCCAGAGGTTCCCACTCCATAGTCTCAGGGGAAGCTGGGTTGGCTCAGGCATTAGTGGCAGGGGGTCTGCATTGAGGGTCTCAACCCTCACCCAAATTGAAGGTACATGGAACACAGAGAAATGCAGCAAATTAGGGGCACAAGGTCTCACCAATTGAGTTGTGAGGTCTGCAAAGTGTACAGATCATGGAGCACTGAGCCAGGACTCGAAAGGATGTAAGATATCTGGAGGGCAAGGAGCTCCAGGTGAGGTGACATTAAGAATGGTGGAGTTCATGGGATATGTGGAAGCCTGCCAAGATGGGAGTACATGTCAATGGGAAAATATCCATGGTACCCTCAGTAATAGATTGAGTTGCATCCCCTCCTCCCCAAATCCATATGTTGAAGCCCTAACTCCAAATGTGACTCTATGTGGAGCTAGGGCCTTTATGGAGGTAATTAAGGTTAAATGAGAGCATAAGGGTGGGGCCCTAATCCCACAGGGGGGTTGAGAGGGTGCCCTTCACCTTCAGCCCACCAATAGTGAAAGACCTGAAACCAAGAAGCAGATGATTGTTGTGTGTACTAGTGTCTGGAAAGAGTTCCCTAAGGAAGGGTCCATGGGTGAAGGATGGGAGGAAACATGGGCATCAAGCAGTTGACAGGTGGAGGGAGTGGTCCCTTAAAGCAGCAGAAAGGGCCTTTCTACAGGCCCTGAAAAGGTTAACACATTATGTGTAGAGACCAGGACCCTCATACTGTAGAGGACAGTCATCCTTATCACCTCCATCCCAAAGATTTGGACTCATTCATTGATGGGCAGTGCCCAGGAGTCTGCATTTGTAACCAATATCGTGGTGATTCTGACAAAAATCATGGATCCTACTGTGAGACACAGAGATCTGGGGTAGAATGAGACCTAAATGTAGGCAAAAGCCCCATCTTGCAAGATCTCAACTGGCAGTCAGGGTTTTTACTTCATCTAAAGAGTGGTAGGTAGGAACCACTGAAGGGTATGAGGCAAGAGTGACCCAACTGTATTTGTATTAAAAAAGATTCTCTCCCAGAATGTATTAGTTACTATTGCTGTGTGGCAATAGTCAAGGGTGGCAAGTCACCATTTAACAATTGTAATTGTCAGTCTTCCTGGATTAGTGGATTCAGGGTTCAGTTAAATTATTGGGTTGTTGGAAAAGTCATGATGCATTTTTGCAACAAAAAAACAGAAAAAATGTCATGACTTTTCCGACAACCCAACATATAAAAACAAAAGCTTATTAAACATCAGTATGAAAAAAAATCAATGAAAAACATGGTTCAAGAGAAAATCAACTGGAAGATTTTTCAAAACATAAGGTTCCAAAGTGTGAGTGCTACTGCTCAAGAGATAGTGGCTTAACCTGAAAAATATTCTCTTTTTGTGAAATGGCATCATCTGCATATCTTAATGCCTGTGAGTCCTGTCAATGAATTTATAGCAAGAACAGAACAGCAAAAGCCATCTGAGAATCTGCAAGGCTCCATGGAGGTTACATTTCAATTCTTCCTATACAAATCTTCTCAACTTTATGCACAGAAGGACTAGTTTATTGCAAAATAATGGAGATAATGTATTTAAAAATCTGTTTAGAGTACACTGACAACTTGTCATATGGAGTTCAAATCTGTGAGACTGGTTGCCTTCTACCTTGATCAGACAATTCACACACAGATCAAAAAACTTCGTACTGAGACAGTTGAGTATGCATGGTCCTTCTATACAGATGCCACTCTCATGTCTGAAACACTCTGCCATAGTGTTTTTAGGGACTATCAGAGTCAATCTGCACCATTCATAAACACTCCCCCTACCCCAAGAATGTAATGTGCAATATTGATAAATCTAGATTGCATTTGGTTCTTATATATGAAAGGCATTTGCTGGGTCCCTCACCATTTTGAAAATATCTGGCTTGAGATCTGGTGAATCCTTGGACAGAAGCCATAGCAAAACCCACTATATTTTCCATTTCTTTTTTGGTTTCTATAGTGTTAGTGAGCACTCAAGGTTGAAGGTCCTCACGTGGCTCATCTCCACATTTTCCTGTTGTTTGGATGATCTGAGCAATGTACTGTGTGTGAAGGCTTGTGTATAAATATGTCTGTGTTCTTGTTTGAGTATGACTGGGTCAAGTGTAGTAAGAGATGAACTATGGCTTAAGTCTTCCCACATCCCAGCTTGTGTGGAGTGAATCTACACAGTATGAGTTCTTTGGTGCTTGGTCAAAGAGGAGCTGTGTGTGAAGGCCTTCCCACAGTCCCTGCACTTGTATGGCTTCTCTCCCGTGTGGGTCCTCCGGTGCTGAGTCAGGTGAGTGCTCTGCTTGAAGCATTTCCCACAATCCTGACATTCATAGGGCTTTTCTCCAGTGTGTGTCCTCTCGTGCTGGCTGAGTGATGAGCTGTGACTGAAGAATTTACCACACTCGTTGCACGCGTAGGGCTTTTCTTTGGTGTGGATTCTCTGGTGTTCTATGAGAAGGGAGCTCTGGCTGAAAGCTCGGCCACACTTGTTACACTCATAGGGCTTCTCTCCTGTGTGGGTCCTCTGATGCTGAATGAGTGAAGCCAGCTGGCTGAAGGCTCTCCCACATTCGTTACACTCATAGGGCTTTTCCCCGGTGTGGATCCGCTGGTGTTTGGTTAAGGATGAGCTATAGCTGAAGGCCCTACCACAGTCGCTGCACTCGTAGGGTTTCTCCCCTGTGTGGACCCTCTGATGTTGAGTGAGGTGTGTGCTTTGCCGGAAGGCCTTCCCGCAGTGACTGCATTCATAGGGCTTTTCCCCAGTATGTGTCCGTTCGTGCTGGCTGAGTGATGAGCTGTGGCTGAAGGTTTTTCCACACTCGTTGCACCCGTAGGGCTTCTCGCCAGTGTGAATCCTACGATGCTCGGTCAGCAGAGTGCTCTGGCTGAAGGCTTTCCCACATTCATTGCATTCATAGGGCTTCTCTCCTGTGTGTGTCCTCTGATGCTGAATTAGTGGTGTGATCTGGGTGAAGGCTTTTCCACACTCATGACACTCATAAGGCTTCTCCCCAGTGTGGATTCGCTGGTGCTTTGTCAATGATGAGCTGTGGCTGAAGGTCTTGCCACAGTCTCCGCACTCATAGGGCTTCTCCCCGGTGTGGATTCGCAGGTGCTGGGTCAGGTGGATACTTTGCCGGAAGGCTTTCCCACATTCCCTGCACTCATAGGGCTTTTCACCTGTGTGAGTCCGCTCATGTTGGCTGAAGGAGGACCTAAAACTAAAGGATTTCCCACATTCACTGCACTCGTAGGGCTTCTCACCTGTGTGAGTTCTCTGGTGCTGGATCAGTGGGGCAATTTGGTTGAAGGTCCTCCCACACTGTGTGCACTTATAGGGTTTCTCGCCAGTATGGATTCTGTGATGTTTGTTAAGTGCAGAGCTGTTTCGGAAGCCTTTTCCGCATTCGTAACATTCATAAGGTCTCTCTCCTGTGTGTGTTCGGAGGTGTTCAATGAGTGCAGAGCTGTGACTAAAAGCCTTCCTGCATTCCTGACATCTGTATGGTTTCTGTTTTACATAGGTTTTCTGTTGCACATTTGAGTCTGGATTATCCCTCTTTCCGTGTGTTCCCCACATGTGGGAGCCTCGTCTTTCAGGAGTCACGGGTACAGCTGGGAGATCTGGGCTCAGACGCTGAGTTTTCCCCAAACCCATTCCCTGTCAGCTGCTCCTGAACCGATGTCCTCACAGTTGTGAAGGTCTGTAGAACACGGCCATCAAGGCTCTCATGACTCCGTTCCCAGGGGCCTGCAGTATCTTCACCCTTAGAACACGACAGACCACCCCACATCGTTGGATTGTTCTTCACAGATGTTCTGCTTTGGAGCTGACAGTTTGGGTTGGATCTAGTTTCCAAGTCTGAAAGAAACAAAAACTGGTAATGTCTCTTAATCCCCATTCCAGAGAAAAAGTTTGTGGGGATGAAAGAATAAATCTGATAGTTTCCAAAAGTTCAAAGCATGAGTGGCCTTCACTGTGTAACAATATGTTTTCTGCAAATGATGGGAGGGAGAGGCAGGCAAATGCCAACAGGGGAGAGGAGTTGGTATAAGGGTACAAATGGAGTTGACAAAGGGGGTATGGAGAATGTGGGTGGGAGAAGATGCTAAGAAGGCCCCGGAGAGTGGGCCTTCAGGGAAATGTGAACAGATGCCCAGGCTTGGAAGGAGCAGAGCAACGACCAGGCCCCAGCTAACGCAGCCTCCACTATGCCGAGTGGCGACGGAGAAGCTGCCATGTGGGAAGGAGCACTCAGCCCTCCCATTCCTCAGACCCAGCCTCTTCCTGGCGACCTCTTGCTGTTGTACCACCTCACCTCAGATGTAAAGAAACCCATCAACTGGGAACTGATGTAGTGTTCTTCACTATGAGGATGGATAAATGACTGTGGTGGTTTAGAGCACTCTGATGTGGTTTATTCTGTTCCCTTAACAGGGAGACTCCATGGGTAGGGACTTCTTTCCATCTTAGTTACCACTGTACACCTACCCACCCACAACAGGGGTCAACAGAAATGCTGAATGAACACATTGAGTTCCTCCCCGCTTCCTGGCAGGATGGACTTTCTGCTCTGTGACCCATCCCTCTCCTCACAGGCAGAGACTCTGCATGCTGCCCCTCCCCCCCACCCTCAGGAGTGGAATGGAGTCTTGTGGGCACCTTTCACATTTATGTTACACCTTAGTGAAATGTTAAGGGTTAAAAAAAAGGGAGTCAAGTTCGATTCCCGGCCAGAGCTGAGCTGCCACTGAGCTGCCAACAGGTAGCAGGATGGCTCAGCTAAAAAAGAAAAAAGAAAAAAAAAGGGAGTCAAGCTGGGTGCGGAGGGCAGAATAGTGTTTCCCAAAGATGTCTATGTCCTAAGCCCCAGAACTTCAGTATGATGTTACCGTTTATGTCAAGGAGGAATTAAGGTTGCTAATCTTTTGACATTAGCTGATCACCTGAGATTACTCTGGCTTATCCAGGTGACCCCATGTAACCACAGGGTTCTTAAACATGAAAGAGAGAGACCAGAGGGTCAGAGTCAGAGTAACACAGTGTGAGAAGACTTGAACAGCCGTGCTAACGTTGAAGACTGACAAGGCCATGAATTCAGCAAATGTTACAGTATCTACAAGCTGGACAATGAAAGAAAATGGATTCTGCCAGACACTCCAGAAGGAACGCTGTCCTGCTGACACCTAGAACGTAGTCCCGTGAGACCCATTTGGACTTTTGACCTGTAGAACTGTAAGATACTATGTGTTGCTTTAAGTCACTACATTTGTGGTAATTTGTTATAGCAGCTATAGGAGGCTAACATGCTGGGTGAAAGCTAGTTATTATTTGAGGCTAGAGAGACCCTGTTGTGACCCCTCCCACACACTGGAAATCTTTCCTGGGCCCTGGCGATGGGCCACTGCTTAACCACGGTCAGGGCCTGATGCCAGTGGGAAACTGCCAGTCAGAGGGCCAGGATGCCACCACTTTACAGAGATGCCTGCCTATTGAAGGAGCTGGACAGGGTATGAAGAGCAGAACCACCCAGCCAACGTGTAGTTACATGGAAGAGCCCAGCCTAGATTTACCACCCACACATTTAAGAGGCGTAAGTGATTCTCTGGTTTAAAGTACTGAGGCTGCAGTGTTTGTTACACAGCAAGAGCCCCTGCACCGTCTCAGTGCCCTTGCACTTGCTGTTTCCTCTGCCTGGAATTTTGTTCTCCCAGATTGTTTCAAGGCAGCACTGTTTTCATGGTTCAGGCTTCAGCTCCCATGTCACCTTGGAGTGGTGAGCCCTCATCTCTCTGTTCAAGCTATCCCCTCAATTCTAGTCTCTACCTCATCAGCTTGCATTTTCTTATAATCAGTAATCATCTCATTCACTGTTATCATTATTACGTTAGCTATTATTATGTGCCCTTCTCCCTCAACAAGAATGTAAATTCAGCAAAGACAAAAGCCAGGTCTCATTCACAGCGGAATAGTGCTTGGTGAATGCTCACTAAAAGAGCGAGTATAGCTTATTCCAAAGAATCTGAGGGTAGACATGGAGAGAGAGACCTGGGGGGTGAGTGGGCTCCTCCCAGCCTTGCACCTCTCATCTCACCTGGGCACACACCTTGGGAAACTCCCACGTCCACCGCCCACGGCTCTGACTCCTGCTCCAGCAGGGAGATGACGGTTGGCTTCGGGAGCCAGTGTCCTGCTCAGGGGAGACCCAGGGAGTGAGCATGTGTTCAGCACCCTTCCAGTCAGAGCTCTGCTTCTTCCCCTGCTCACTGGCAACAATGAGCCATGTGGAGGTCGCCTGGTGGTCGAAAGGAGACACCCCAGGCACCTTTGATTGGCGCCCAGAACACAGACCCTGTCGTTTCTGCTGTTCTTGGACCCTTGTAGCTATCTTGTCATCTTCATAGGAGGCCCATCTGGGACTGGTAGCAGAAAGAGGTGCAAAGTGAAGACAGAGGGGTCTCCTGACCGTTCCACAGGAAAACTCAGGTCTAACCTGGGGTTTTCCAGTCACGGGACCCAGTATGTCCCTCCTACCCCGTGGTGTCCTGCTTTGGGCATTTTCAGGTGGGACCTGCTACGTGCAAGCCAAACATCCTAATTGACATTCCCACAACCAAAACAGCCTGGTCTCTGAAGCCAAAGATACATCCAAGGTATTTGCTTTGAAAGCCTAGACCTACCCCCACTTTAACTCAAAAGTATTTAGAATCCATGGTGAGGCCACACACAAGGAGCCCAAAGGTCTCCAGCATCACATCACGGTACAGGGTCCTCTGGGCAGGCTCTATCTGCCTCCACTCCTCCTGGGTGAAGTCTACAACCACGTCCTCAAAAGTCACTTCCTCCTGAAATATCACGAGTGTCGTGTCCTCAGCCAGCCCAATTCTAGCACTAGCTGCTGGTGGGAGCATCTGGTGAACAAGGACAAGGCCAAGTTAGTAGAATGGAGTTTATCACATCTGGGAGCCCTGAATGTAAGGATAGATGTGTACACACCGGGGCCCTGGCATCTAGGAGCCCAGCAGTCATTCCCTCCTCCTCTGGCCTCTTGCACGAACAGCCAGATCCTCTGCACAGAGTTCTGGAGGGAAGGGGATGTGAAGGGCTGAGCAGGTGTCTGTGGTGACCAGAGACCAAGTGTCAGAACCCCTACCTGCAGGTGGAGAGCCTCGGCTGCCAGAGCCTGGAGCCCAGCACCCAGGCCAAACCCAACAGTACTCAGCTTCGCATTTCCTGAGCACCTGCTGGGTGCTCAGTGCTATTTCAGCCACTATTGAAGAATGACCTCAGATTTTCCTACCGCATTCCATAGATAGGAAAGCGGGGGGCTAGGGTGGGCAAGGCGCAATGATTTCCAGGGTGATGACAACTCTGTTACTCTGACAGAAAGCCAGACAGTTCTGGAGTCCCTGGGCACTGCTTGGTGTGCCTCAGTTGCCCTCTCCCATGAAATGAGGGTGGTGACCCAACATGGAGATTACCAGAATTAAAGTGTGAAATGGGCTGAAAACAGAGAGGAGCAGCTGTACACACGTGATGGCGACTGTTGCTGAGAGGAAAGGCACTAAATAGGTGCTCACTGAAGCTAATGGCTAAGACATACATACTACCTGTTCCTGGTGGTTTACAAGCTTGACCCTGGCTGATTGCCCAAAACAAAACCCAGGCCCAAGGCAGGATGCGTTTCCCTCGTCTTTGTACCTTCCCTGATGAAACTGACTATGCACCTCCGATTCTGCCCCATCCTGTTGGGCGCTGTTGTCTTCACTGCAGTTTCCAGGATGAGAGTAGTTATGTCGTTCAGTGATGTGTTAATTAGATTTTTATCATCTACCCGACCTCCCCCATTCCAGTGGGCTCCAATGGGCAAAGACCATGTTGAATGTGGCTATGCAGAGGCTCTTCTTAGGTATAGGAAGGATGGGGCCCGGCACTCAGGATATCTAAATACGTGTTTGCTGAATTGGGAAAGGGGCCTGGATGGTGCCCGGCATGCAACCAGTGCTCAATAAAAGCTTAATATAATGAGTCTTTAATGGGTCTCAGGCCACTGGGATTTTTGTTTTGTGCTTCTGGTCTCCCTCACCTTCAGCCTTTAAGGACCGAAGGCCCCTCAGGAAGATGAGGCTCCAGATGACTCCGTAGTCGTCACCACCACGGAATCCTGGGCGTCCCACTAAGCAAGGGAGGGATGCCGGTCAGGCTGGCTCCAAGCTCTTATGGGTCTGGGCCAGCTGGTTCTCAGACTGCGTCCCGGAGCCGGAAGATTCCGACCCCTTCCGCCAAAACCAGGACTGCTCTGCTTCCCCAAACCCCTCGGACTCGAATCTCCTGAACCGAACCCCGCCCACTCGGCCCGCCCTCACTGCCCAGAAGCGACCCGCCCCGGGACAAAAGCAGCAAAAGAAAGTCGACACAGACACGCGCGGCTGGGTACAAAAGGCGGCCTGGACCCAAGGAATAACCGGATACCCACCCAGCAACACTCGCCCAGGACACTCCCGATGTTACTTACCCGCTGGACGACAAGACAAAGGCCGCGATCGCGAGTGTCCCTCACTGCGCCTGCGCCGATAGGCGCCGAACTACATCTCCCAAAGGGCCAAGCGCTCACCAGCGGTTATTCCGGGGCGGGCTTCCGCACCGTCCGAATCTGTCGATCCGCAGCTGCAAGGATCGGTCAGCCAACCGGTTGGGTCTCCGCGCCCTGCCTCCACTCACCGTTAAAGGGCCGCACAACGTCCGCGGCCACTCTCAACCTGGGCGTGTCCAAGTACAACTCTGAGAAGGTGGCGCGCGCTTTCAGTCGTTTCGGTGCTCGCCTCGCTTCTGCCCGGTGCCGAGGTTGCTGGATCAGGATCCGAGCTTGGCCTCGCAGACCCCTGCTGGGTATTGCCTCGCCTTTCCACCTGAAAACCATCACGGTAGTTCTTGGAACTTCAGGATGAAGGCCGCGTCCACCACCGCCCACCTTGCCGCGGGAGCGCCTGCGCTGGAGGTGCCGAACTACAACACCCTGAGGGCTACGTTCGGGATCCTTGCACAGAGGCCTGAGACCGTTGGTTCATTCTTGGTGAGAGTTCGAATCCCAGCGCCAGCATTTAACGTCCTGCATGTAAATATTCGCTGCTCTTTCGCGTGGCATGAATCGCCTTGCGGACATCGTACTATTTTGGTAGAGAGAGAGACATAAAACAGGAGGAGGGGGCTAAAAAAAGACTGACCAGTCTTTTTTGGTTTAATTCCAGAAGACAGAAAAGGACGGGCCTGGGTCAGCCACGACACACTTCATTACCCACTCAATAAACAAAAACAGCCGTACATGAATATAACATTTAAGTATGTGTCTTTGTCGAATATAAAAAGCACATTAGAACATTTATTTTTATTTCGTCCGAGGAACGTGTATTTGTGAAGGTGGCATCTTTGAAATCTGGCGCTGAAGAGGATAGATCCGCACAGGCCCCCAGCACTGCCGCCTGGCTTTCTGGAGGTGTAGTCCGTAGCTTTTTGCGAATGTGGCCATATCTTGTCACAATGGACTACAGCTCACAGAAGGCATGGCTCCTAGGTGACACCAATTTTCTGGAACTGCCCAGTGTTCCCTGTAAGAAGAGGCACCCTTTACCTGCAGGTCCTCCATGGAGAAGTAATACAAACCCCTAGGTGTCCGACATCGCCACCTGGTGGAAGAGGTTCGTGTAAGCGTGATTCCCGTATACTCCCTAAATTCTTAAACACAGGCTTTCCGGAATCTACGCAGCTGCTGTCCGCTCCTTTCCGGAGGTCGGGACTCGTCCAA